TGACCAAGGTTCTAAGGTACTTGCTGCTTTTAGAGGCAACAAAACCTTTTGGTCGTTCGTAAAAAGTGTAAAGGATAATGCTAGTTCTTCAATTCCGACGCTTTTCAGGGACGATCAAACATTCACCGACCCGGTTGATAAAGCTAACCTTTTAGTGTAAGACATACTTCACTCCATCTGATCTTCTTACTTCCGACCGAAAATGGAATACAACTCCCATGTATGGGCCGGAGCTTCGAAGTCTATTTTGGAGCTACTCGACCGCGAAGGTACTTATCGGTGACAGTAGGGTAACCAACTATATTGATTCACTGGAGCACCGTCGCAACGTGGAGTGTATTTCACTGTTCTATCGATACTATAATGGAATGTGTTCCTCTGAAATTCTGGAACTCGTTCCCGATACCCGTATATTTTTACGCAGCACACGACAGTCATCAAGAACACACCCATTTGTGGTCGATTGGCCAGTGGACCGCACAACACATTACAGGGAAAATTCATTCTTCAGCCGCACTGTTCGTATGTGGAACAGACTTCCTGCAGAAGTATTCCCCGTCACTTTCGGTGTGAAAAAGTTTGAATCAAATGTCCACAAACACTACTCATTCTATCCTCCCTCCCACAACCTATTTTCCTACTTCCAGCACAATGCACTGCATGAGTAGGGGTCATCCCCTGAGTACTGGTCCAAGAAAAAAAAAATTAAGGACCGATCCAGAAAAAATTTGGTAGAGTCATATAAGTATACACAAAACATTTTTACATACATATGTCAAATATTATTCCAATATATTTATTTCTTAATTAGTTATGTACATTTAAGTGATTTTCGGAAGTGAACCTTATATGGGAGCTATGACCAATTATGGACCGATACAGATCTAAGTTAATAGTATGATTTCTGTTTATATCATATACATATCAACAAAATGTTTTGGTGATATTAATATATTTAAAGAAGTTATTAACAATAAATCCATTTCCGAGGCTATGGAAAATTTTGGATCGATTGTTTTGATTAAAAAAGTAACGTGTACCAAAATTCATCAAATTATTTTCAGTAGTTTTTGAGAATACTACTCGAGAATTAGGAAAAAAACGTTAATTTTTTCGAGTTAGTCTAAAATGTTTACTCATAACTTTTTACGTTGTTACGTTCAATACCAAACTGCTTAGGACAGCCATGAATATTTTCGTTGAATTTGGTTTACCTCCTTTGCTTAGTTTAACGAGAACGTGTTTTAGGCAGAAAGACCCGGGATATATATACTTTGTTGGATATATGTTGGAATATTTCTTTGCGTTACACACGGAATGATAAATTTATATATACCCTCTATCACCACTGATGGATTAAAAATTAAAGTTTCTAAGTTTCTTTCTGTGCACTGCGCTATAGTCTGAACTATCACCTTCACGAGTGTACCCCAGAATATATCCGCCCGGTTGAGTTTCATTTGTTGAGTTTTATTTTTCATTCAGAAAATAATAATTATTTTTAGAGTTCTCGCGGAAGTTTCTTCTACCAAAGCTCTCGTAGCGGCAATACGTCAAGTGTACAGCATGCCATTGTCAAAAATGTAGTAGTAAGTAGTAAAAGAGTAGGATGCACCCAGAGAGAGTTTTGAATATAGGTGAGGGATCTGACTCTGAATCCCTAGAATTGTGAAGGATGTGAATGGAAGCCAAGTTGTATCTCATTCAAAATCCTGCGGGTAAAGGCGACAAAGCCAAGTAAAACATTCCTTAATAAATCTATAAGGTGAAGTCTCGAAAAGTGAGGACGAAGAAGCTAGATATTGAAGAAGTAAAGAGCTATAATCTTACGCCGAAGTTGGAGTATATTCTGCTAGCAATTCAAAGGCAAAATCGCAATAGACCAGCATAGTAAGGTAGAATATCTAATCAACAATAAGATAGTGGTCTACGCAATCGCTTCTAGTCGCAAAAAAACTAATAGAGAGCGTGAGCAACGAGTTCCGCATGAGCGTGATGTTTATAAGACTGGCATCTTACCAATTTGTTGACGCATTGAAGAACTTGGTGAAAAGTATCCCTCCTCCCTGGGCGACGCTAAGCTAGGACTAGTCAAGAAGAGGGTTCCTTCAGTACTCTCCAATCCACTATCTATATAAAGGGATGGAGCAGCAAATTCTCATTCAAATCCACTGTCTATATAAAACGATGGAGCAGCAAATTCGCCTTTAAAGTTGAGCGTATATTGGAAATTATTGGAAGCCAAAATGCTGAACTGGACGTGGGAAATCATTTACAGGAAAGTACAACTAATGACAAGGCTTATTACGCCTCTATTGCTGACGTCTTCAAAATTGGACAGGTGCCGATTAATAGGGCTGTTATAACAAAAATTATCCCTGAGAGATAGACATTGCAATGTTCGTGGACATTTGATTTAGATCTTTGGTTGAGATACCCATATTCCTGTCGATCCTTATTTGTACGGTTTTCTACATTGTACCTATTGAAAATTGTTAAGATCGGTTCTTTATTTCACCTAGCCCCCATACAACTTAACCTCCCGAATAGGGCTTTTGAGCTCATAATTAGTTTAATATACCCAGAAAATGAGTTATGTAAACGTAGATCATGCACCAAATTATATGGGAATCGGTCCACGTTTGCCCCAGTCCCGTTATAAAGCCTCTTTCAGAAAATTAGTTTTTCATCAATAAATTGCTTAAATACATATATCGGAGGCATTTAACTTAAATGCTATATTAAGGTAAATAAATCACATTCTATTCTATTAACTGGTGTAGGGTATTACATGGCCACGCCAGACTACAATTTCTTACTTGTTAGTTAATTATTAACATTAACTTTATAAGGCGACCAGTGTGACCAGGTCTCAAAAGATGTTGCGGCTAAATCCCATCCAAAATAATGCTAGAAAAAATGCTAAATTGATTTTAAAATGCCAAAAAAAATGCTACAATTTTTTTAGTGTTTTTATGAACAATTGATATTAATTTGTAACTGAAATTCATTGTAATTTATAACAAGTAAGAAAGTATATTCTGCCGTAGTTGACCATATGAGTATAAAATTTGATTTATTTTTCGTAATAAAGCATTTATGTTGAATTGAACCTTGGTTTCAATATATTTAAACTAATTTTCTAAGAAAGGCTTTATACATTTGTATATGTATGGGGGCTAGGTAAAATAAAGGACGGACTTTAACCATTTTTAAAAGGTTTTGTCATTGGATCAAAAAGCATACGTGCTTATTGTTTTGAAAATTTCAACCTCTACCAGACGGTCAGACTTACATGGCTTAATCGATTCAGAAAATGATTCTTAACCGATTAGTATACTCAAACGTAGTATAGTGGAGTAGAGTAAAAAATTAAGTTCCGTGGTATTAAGATAAACAGAAATGCTAAAAATTATTTCAAAATTTTTGTAAATTTAGCAATATGTAATGTCTCTAACTTTAAAATATTTCTGAATGCAAAAATTACATTAAAACTATATTAATTACATTAGTTGCTCATGGTATAAAACCTATATGTGTTTCGGGAGGAAAAGTATATTTCTAGTTTTACTTTTTTTTATATAAACAATTTTATTTGTCTTCCTCAAAACACTTTAAAAATGGTTTTCATGTCACAAAAATATTGAAAATTCCGTTGAAATAATTTTAAATCTCGGTGTATAGATGTCAGGTTTATAACTCATACTTCCAAGATTTTTTCGGAAAAATATATATGAGAATGTATGAAATGAATTGAGAGATATATTCAAATCCGTAAGTTTGTAATTCTGGAATAAATTGTCAATAATATTTTCGAAATTTATGTATTTTTTTTAATTAAAAAAAAAACGTGACAACAAAATTACTAAAAATGTGGTAAAAATAAAAAGAACAGAAAGTAGGATGAGAAAGTCTTAATTATATATTATTGATTTTTTTCAATACTTATTTTCAATAAATTAACAAGAACTCCTGAAGGATGATAAAAATTAAAACCTCTTTATTTCGTATAGGAAAAAATAAAATTTGTTAATTAACCGTCATACATAGCCTTTTCCAAAATTATATGTTTCATTCCATGAGCAAACAAAAAGTATTAGTTTGTAAAATAGCGTACTGAACGTATTTGTAAAAATATATGAAATCTCTTGAATTATTTCTATCACCTCGAATTTAAAAAAGCATTGGGTTCCAGAAAAATATTTTAGAATACAACATTTTAAAGTATTCACTTGTATTGGCGTAATTTTAAGTTATTTATCTTCATGAATCTTTTTGCATTATTTTGAATTACAGGGTAAATTATTACATTTCTCATATTTCTTGTTGCTTGTGTTTGGGTAGACATTTAATTCTGATTTTTTCCGGTTAAACCTATTTCCAATATAAATCTTGTTTGCAAAAATTTTTCTTTTTTTGTTTATATACTAAAATTGCAAAAAAAGCTAAAAATGCTAAAAATATTTTATAAAAATGCTAAATAAAATGCCAAATGCTAAATTAAAATTTTGCAGCTAAATCAAAATAAAAAATGCTAAATCTAGCTGCAAAAATGCCAAAATGGTCACACTGAAGGCGACAAGTACCAAATGTAGTGTGATTGGGGCTTTGTTGTGAAATTTTAGATAGCTCAATGAAAATTGGGTTTAAGCGTTATTGGTGGGGGATCAAAAACTGATTGCGTTCATTGGATTAATCGTAACATGTAGTCCCTTAAATGAGGCCCCAAAAAGAAGAAATGTGCAAATTTCATTTAGCTATCAGTTTGCTCATTTATATGAATAATTAGTCTGTCGTATATTCCAGACAGGGACATATAGTTAAACTGTATATATAAATTTAATATACATACATACATACTTATTTACAGGATTTTTTAACAAAAAAATAATTAATAAGGATTACAAAAACACACAAGCAAAAAACTATATACATAAAACATTCATTGCCAAAAAATAAGGTTAAAATAATATGTTTAAAAAGGTTTAATAAATACTAACCTGTTTTTCTTTCAACAAACGCAATCTCTGTAAAAGAGGCAATCCCGCACCAATTGGACTTGGAGACTTGTCATGTAATTCTTCTTTTTCTTCGGCGGTTTCTTCCTTATCATCTGATCGTACGCGGGACATACGCTTTAACATTGATTTGCCGTTCTTAGGAGATGTACTGTGTAAAGGCTGCATTTCTAAAGACTCATCGCTTCTTCTAGTTGTTCTAAATAAAAAAAATAATTGAAACAAAATTATATAAATATTTTCAAAATTTAAAATTTGTTTCTTAGAAATTTGCTAATATTTCGTACTGGTCTGTTAATTGAAAATAGGGTTTGCTAAAATTTTCGACATTTTGGATTGCTATTATAAATAAGCTAAAGAATAGTGTGGGTTTTTACTTATAAAATATATTCGAAATTTCTAATTTTTTAGTTTTAGAAATTTCGAGGAGTGTGTGCGGGTTGGGTTTTTGAAAATTTGATATTATTTTATATTTTGCTGTATTTTAGGATAAATTATTAAAAAAAATAACTTAAGCGCTAAGGTACGTGAATTAGATTTGGTTAAATATTCAGTGAATACAATAAGAAATGATAATATAAAATTGGATAAAAAAATTCAGACACAGTAACAAATATTTGAAACTTCTTTTTTCATCTTATATTTTTATGGCACACAAAGGGACCCAAGTGACTTGTGTAAAGGTGTAAAAGTCGAGAAACTTTTTGTGTGAATCTAATTCTAGTAATGAAATTGTGTACTGTAAGTTTAAACCTGTAAAAGTATTTAATTTATTTAAAGGGTAACAACCCACATACACATGTTGGATCCACTCATTTTCATACTTTTTCAAGTACAACACTGAATATTTGTGAAAAGCCTAAACATAAGAAATGATCATGCCTAACATACCACATTTGAACCGGAAATTAGCTGAAATATGTAAGGCCTGTTAACTTGACAGATTTTAAAAATTACCAAATCTGACCGTTGTCAGCTCAACGGTCAAAATTATATTAATGAAATACCCTTCTATTTGTAGATAAAACGTAACTGTGATTCAGACTTTAGAATTGTTATTACAACAACCGATATGATTCCATGCCTAAGTTTAAGCATTTTATTTAGAAATTCAGCTTTCTACGGATATTTCTGAGTATTTCGAATATTTTCAAGTATATTTTACGAAAATCATTGTATTTATTTTAAGAGATTTGTTGAGGCTTAAAATACGCTGTCTACATTAAATATCTGCACCAAGCGAGGATTAAGTTCTTAGTTGCAAAATGTTATAGATATAGTTAATTTTCATGTTAGTGTAAACATTATTTAAAATTAAATGTTTGGTGCACAAAATACACATATTAAAAAGTTTGCTTTGCTAAAGTATTACAAATATGACAGTAATTTGTATTATAGATTTAAGAAGAGCTTGAAGTTGTAAAAAGATTTGACTCAAGTAGCTAAAGTCGACAGCATATTTTAAGCCTAATACTAAATACCGTGATTTTTTAAGAACACTTCGGAACCCCTTAACGTCATGTCTCAATTTATCGACAATTTTCTTCGAGGCACTATTTTCACTGCTGTCACTCTGATTCACGTGACTGTGATGGTGGTGGGCCCCTTGGTGGTTTTCAGCTTCTTTATCGGCCTGTGCCTTAGCATATTTTTTGTTGACACACCTTACTTCCATAAGACGTTTTCTACCAAGTGTCTGTAGGATCTCCTGTGCTTCTGGGTAGTCTTTCATGGCTGCCAACACATCTTCACGCGATAGAGAAAACAATTCGGAATAGCCCACCGATCTAACATCAGCAGTACGTCTGAAATTCAAAAGTTTTAGTTATAATTACTGTTTCTTTTTCATATTTACATATAAAAATCATACTTGTTTAAACCATCCAAGTTGAGTATACCAATTTCCCCAAAAAAATCACCTGCTTTCATGGTAGTAAGAACTTTGCCGGTCTCACTTAATACTTCTAAAATCCCATCGGCTATTATAAACATTTCGCGAGCAACTTCTCCTTTGCGACATATTGAGTCGCCTGGTGTAAATATATACGCCTTCATTTTCAAAACCAAATCGTGAAGAAATTCGGGCTGACATTCTTGAAATATTGTTACTTTCTTTAAAACACTCAAATTCACATGCAAAGCTAGTTCAGTTTTTAATTTATCCGGCAATAGGCCCAAAGCTGTGTTTATATCACCTCCTCCTTGTATACGTCCCCTTGACCAACTGTAGTCATACCAACGCAAGACACGACGTTTCATTCCTCCAGGCACCTTTAGTAAAAAAAATGCTTTAAAAAACAAGGCAATTTAGAAAGTATTATATTATACAACCTTGTGATGTCTCATATAGGTTTTAGCGCCATCTAGAAGACGCTCAAACTCCAGACGATTTGCATTACGATTGGTAATTACATTACCAACTTGACCGACAATAGTGGCAAATATAAAAACGCCAATTAAATAACTAACAATTGTGAAAATGTATCTGTAAATCGCAAAAAAATCAAATTAATATTTCTATGTTTCATAAAATTTATCTAGTGTTTTATCAAAGTTTTCGAAAGCTTGAATTGCTTTTAGCAAATATTTTAAATTTAATAATGAAATTACACATACAAATACATATAAACATAAGTGAACTGTTTACAATGAATCTCCATTGAAATGAATATCATTAATTGTTAAAGGCTGTCTCTATACTTTTCGAAAACTTTGATATATTACTTTGATATTGCAGAGTTTAAAAGACCTTAAAACTTTATTAATTATTCTTAGTTAAAAGTATTATATGGTTCCCATCTTATGGCGGACAGCCCTAACGCATATTGATATTTATTCCAAGGAAGTTGAATAAACGTTATGTTTTTTTTAGATAATAGATTATTAGCATACCCATAATTTGAACCAAATTGAAGTAATCTGGATTTAATTCCACGCCGCGGTATTGATCTAGGGCCGTCCACCGAAAAATTGATTCTTAAATTTTAATTTCAAAATAAATAGTGATTAAAATAGTATAATACAAAAATGTATGTATGTAGATTAGGATTATAACCAAAAATTAGACCCTATCACTATATAGTAACCAGAAATATTTTAATAACGATAACTTTTGGGGGCAAAAGCCTTCCGCGACTTATAGTTCCAAACAAACCTATTTCGTATGTTTAAATTTCTTTTTGTTTTTCTTAAATTAATTTTAATTAAAACTTTAACAATTACATTTACTTGTAATTGAACTCTTAACAATTGCAATTATTTTTAGAGCGTAATTGAGCATTAATCAATTACAATTACTTGTAATTGTGAATTTGTTCCATTAAGTTTAAAAATGTAATTGAATTGTAACTATAAGTAATTATAATTGGGAAACTTCAGTTACAATTACAAGTATTTGTAATTAGCAAAACTTTAATTACAATTTCAAGTAATTGATTTTGGCAAAACTTTAATTACAGTTTCAAGTAATTATGTTTTGAAGTAATTGTAAAATAAGTAATTGAAAATGTAATCATTATTGTTCAATTACGCATGCAAGTAATTGTAAGGACAAAACTTAAATTACATATAATTATAATTGCTCAGTTACGCATTACAATTAATTGTAATACACCACGTAATAAACTAATCATGGCCTACCCAAGCCCGATTTATTCTTGGTAAGAACAAAAATTTCACTTGCATTTAATTAAATTATTTACCCACCATATGGTATTGCAATAATGTTAAATTACGAAATTAAATTATACATACTCAGCATTCGTTTCAGGCGTTGGTAAGTCTCCGATTGTAGTTAACGTCAATGTAGACCAATATAAACTACCTAAATATTTTCTTGTTAGAGTGGCATAATCTCCTGGACGGTATGGATATACCCAATCACCCTGAAATCATATATATTTGCTTATTAACATCTTTATTAAGTAGAAGACTATACGTACCTGAAAACCCTCGGCTTCGGATAGTAAATAATAGAAACAACCAAACCAATGGGCAAGTATTAATAAAATGTGAATTAGATTTACAACGCGCCATAAATTCGGCCAAACAGTTCTACTTTCAACAATATAATAAAATCGAACAGATCTATAAACCTAAAGAGCATAAAATATATAGATACATTAAAAATTTACAGTCATACATAAATATTTAAAGAGCAATTTTTATACACACCATCAAAAAATATGGGGGGGGGGTATATTCATTTTGTCATTCCGTTTGTAACACATCGAAATATTGGTCATAGGCTCATAAAAGTATATATATTCTGGGTCCTTATTAGATTTTAAGACGATCTAGCCATGTCCGTCCGTTCATCTTTCCGTCTGTCTATTGAAATCACGATAGGGACCACATGGGAGGAGCTAGACAGTTTTGCATAAATATTCTCTATTGCTAAGGTTTGTTTGCTATTTTTTATTTAGCTATTTGCTAATGAGCAATATCGGTCCATTTTTTCGGACAGCCCCCATACAAGTGGACCTCCAAAAACAGCTTTAACGGGCATAACTTTAGAAGTAGTAGTAGAACATTGAAATTCGCCACAAAAAATTTTTATATGAGCCAAAATCTTTCTACCAAATTTTTTTGAGGATCGGTCCATAATTGACCCTACCCCCTCATAAAAGGTCCCTTTCAGAAAATGACTTTAACACTCATTACTGGCCTAAAAATTCGAGTATAGCGATGAAATTCGGTATAAATAAGTTTCTTACGAACCTAAATCTCTTTACCATTTTGTTTTAGGATCGGCCCACAATTTACCCTACCCCCATATGAGGCCCCCTTCTGAAAACGACTTTAACACTCATTACTGGCCCAAAAATGCGAGTATAGCGATGAAATTCAGTATAAGTAAGTTTCTTACGAACCAAAACCTCTCTACCAATTTTTTTTTGGAACGGCCCATAAATGACCTTACCCCCCATGTAAGGTCCCCTTCTGAAAGTGACTTTAACGCTCATTACTGGCTAAAAAATACGAATATTGCAATACAATTTTACACAATTAAGTTCCTCGCGAGCCAAAATCTTTTATGTGGATAGGTCCATAATTGGCCCTAATTGGCCTATAGACTAGACTATAGACTAGACTATAGACTAGACTATAGACTAGACTATAGACTAGACTATAGACTAGACTATAGACTAGACTATAGACTAGACTATAGACTAGACTATAGACTAGACTATAGACTAGACTATAGACTAGACTATAGACTAGACTATAGACTAGACTATAGACTAGACTATAGACTAGACTATAGACTAGACTATAGACTAGACTATAGACTAGACTATAGACTAGACTATAGACTAGACTATAGACTAGACTATAGACTAGACTATAGACTAGACTATAGACTAGACTATAGACTAGACTATAGACTAGACTATAGACTAGACTATAGACTAGACTATAGACTAGACTATAGACTAGACTATAGACTAGACTATAGACTAGACTATAGACTAGACTATAGACTAGACTATAGACTAGACTATAGACTAGACTATAGACTAGACTATAGACTAGACTATAGACTAGACTATAGACTAGACTATAGACTAGACTATAGACTAGACTAGACTATAGACTAGACTATAGACTAGACTATAGAAGACTATAGACTAGACTATAGACTAGACTATAGACTAGACTATAGACTAGACTATAGACTAGACTATAGACTAGACTATAGACTAGACTATAGACTAGACTATAGACTAGACTATAGACTAGACTATAGACTAGACTATAGGACTAGACTATAGACTAGACTATAGACTAGACTATAGACTAGACTATAAAAAACTAGACTATAAACTATCACAAAATAAAATCGGGAAACATTTTGTCTTTTAATACAAAACATTGACTTACCTTAAAAAAACGAGTAAAACGTAACAATGGCTGAGAGCCCATTTTTAATTGTAAAAGATCGAACGGTACTAAAGCAATAATATCAAGAAAACAATCTCTTGAATGAACATAATGTGACATTAGTTTTTTATCGTCGTAGACCTGCAGAAAATAAAAAAAAAATTATGTGAAAATCATAGAACACTTTGAACTTAGTCTTACCATTAGACCCTGTTCCAAATAACCGGTTCGTAATTGTACAAAAATATCGAAAATGAATACAATGTCAGTTAGTGTATCACAAATAAACCAAAAAGTTGGTACCGCATTCTATAAAATATAAAATTATGGTTATAATTTGTGTTAGTTTGCGAAGTAGTTTTGTATTAATATAAGATTACTTGTAATTCTGGAAAACTTTGACGAACAATTAAGGTCCATAAATTATAAAGAACACAAATTGTTAAAACCATCAACCAATAAAAGTAAAAATTCTCATCAGGATTTACAACAGAACGACGCTTTTGCAAATAACGTCTACGTCTTTTAATGGTCTTATCGACGTCCCCCGAGGCACTTTCGGATCCAGTATCTTCGACGGTTTCCTTAAACAGAACAGAATTCATAATTAATTAATTGTTACTTTAAAATATTCATTAATTTTCCATTTTATGGGCAAAAATATTGTTCTTTTTTTGTATCTCGACTTATGTTGTATTTTCGAAGACTGCACATTGTGTGGGGTTTCGTATGATTAATATCTAACTATGACGTATGATTATGTATTAATCACACGTTAATCATACGGAACATATATATATATATTATCCACACGTCATGGGTGGACATTAATCATACGTAACCCCATACAATATGCAGTTAATACTTCAAAAACAGCAGATAAGACGAGAATCAAAGAAGCAAAACTTTGTTTATCTAAAAAAATTAAATTAATAAATCTTTTTAAGTTAAAAAGTGAACCCGACATACTTGAGTTTCTGGTATTTGACGTGTTGAGAATCTTTTTAGGAATGAATCTTCTCTCTTAAGCGGTGGTTTCTTTTGTATGGCTGATGATATTTGTACAGTAGTTCTAAGTTTCATCCAACGCTGATTAGACCGAGTCCTGTAGTTTTCAGAAAGAGTATTATGATTTTAACAATTAGATAATAAGGCAATGTTTTTTTTTTTGTAATTATTCTAATATTAAGGCCAAACAAAAAACAGAAACATACATATAAATACTAAAATAAATAAAGAAAAAATAAAAATATACAATTAATAAATAAAAAAACAATAACAATATATGTAACAATAATCATAATACAAAATAACAACAATAGCAATGATAAAGTTAACACATAATGAAATGAAAACAACTACATACATATATAAGTACTTACTTACACACACAAAAATGGACTACTTACAAAATCAATGATGACATTATTATATACACACATACACACAATATCCAAATTCACTCACGAACATGCCTTCGTTTAGATGCACGACTCTTAACAAAAACAACATAAACTCATACATAGACGGAAGGAAATAGAATATGCATGTATTTATGTTTATGCTCTTATGTTAATTAAGACTTGAGATGACAACGACTATACATACACACACATACATACATATGTACATAACTACAAAGGTATGCATATGGATGTATGGATGTCTGTATATCGACAGTATGTATGTGGTATATGAAAACGAAACGGAAACGGATAATAACATTTACTACTCGTATGTATGTGTATGCACGATTATTTATTGAATTAGATCTTTCTCAATCTCATTTACAAAACGATTCACAAGTATACGAACGAACTATAACACACACTTCGAACAACTAAGTGTCACTAGTCACATGCATGGCTTTCATTTTCATTTTACTATATTCTTTGACTCTGAATTTTCTAAAATAGATTTGTAACAAATATAAAAAAATACAAAAGAAATAAAATTAATAAATGAATCAAATAACTAATTTTAACACACATAAGTACATATACATATTTATAAGTACATACATATGTATGTGTATTATAAATATAGTACAAATATATTATAATAATAAAATGGGTGAAATAAGTAAGGAAAAAACATAAGAGTACTTAAAGTTTACACTTACATACATTCAAGACATAGACATACAAAATAAACATGTACATGTAAATCATACATTTATAAATCACAATCAATCTAAACTAAACTAATGTTTTTCTTTTTTGGGTAGTTGTTTGTGTGTGTTTGTCTTTTGAATTTGTTAATATACGAATATAAATTAAAATACAAAATTACAAAATAGAAACGGAAACACAAGATTGTGTCATTTTGTGACAAGTGTTCGAAAAACAAAATCATACAACTACGACTACTATCAAGGATTTTATTCATTGTTCTGATTGCATTTGTGGTTCTAATCATTGATCTATTAAATATAAGACCTGCATAGTATATAACTATTTAATTATTGAGTGATGTGATATCTATCATATGTAATCAATCAAATTAACGTATTTACAATTTGCCATTATTGACTATTGATTAATAATAATGTGTCAAATCAAACGAAATATATTTATGTATGTATTTTAGCTAAAAAGTTAAAAAAGTTATATTTCTATGTACAGTATTGTTCGAAATATGAGAAACTTTTTCTAATAAAGTAATAAAACTCAGATATTCCTTTTAAAAGCCTATAAAAGTCGAAAATTTTCCAAATTAACACAACAGTAATCAATAATTTATATAAACAACAACAACAACAAAGAGGCGTGAAATCACTCAAAGGCAGGTCAAATTCTAAAAAAAAACAAAGTTTGGTCTCACTAAATCGAGGCTTGCAGCCTTTGTAACTAGGCTGCATAAAGTAATTCATTAAGTGACCTATTACAAGTACTTGTAGTGATTAATTGAGCAAAAACCAATTACAGTTACTTGTAATGTGTAATTGACCAATAATCGATTAGAATTACTTGTTATTTTAATAGAAGTTTATCAATTACAATTATAAGGGAAAAAATCACAATTACAGAAAATTGTAATCGGAAACTTTCAATTACAATTACATGTACATTACAAGTATTGTAATTGGAAATTTTCAATTACAACTAAAAATAATTGTAATTGGTTATTGCTCAATTACATATTACATGTAATTGGAAAACATTTGTTGCGGATTAAAATACTAAATATACACAGTTTAGCTGTATCTGCGATTTGAACTCGGCGGATTTGGGGAAAATCAATACATTTTGTAATATTTTTTATCGATATATATGTTAAATAAAGTATTTTCATTATAGTCCAGATGATAATTATATATCTTCAAAGTTGATTTCCTCTCTGAGACAAAGTTGTAGCTCTTGTCATAGAGAACAAAAATTGTGAACTTCATCTTCATTTTGTAATTTCAAGTGGAAGTTATAAATTGTTAAACTACATCGCTTTTATTAATGACACCTGTACGTATACGTTATAGTGATTAATTGATATAATAAATATTAAGTATTCGTCTAATTAGAGAAGTATGTGAAATATTTTTGAACACGTTAAGAATCGAGTTTTTTTTTCAATTTTGATCTTGAAGTTGATGTTTTTTTTCATTTTATATGTTCACAATTTTGTAGTTCTTTATGACAAGAGCTACAACTTTGTGTTGCACTGTGTAATTTATAATATAAAGTCCAATATGTAATATAGCAGCGAAGTGGGAGTTATTTAATTGTTGATTTTAACGGCTTAATAATGTTTGGAGGTCATAAAAAACAAAGGTTATCATACGATGTGATTTTGGAAAATGGATTTTAACTTTCATTGTAGTTTTTAAAATCATAATATTAAAAAAAATATAATAAAAACTATATAAATTATTTTGCATGAAAAACAAATACAACATTTATTACTTTATTAGAAAAAGTTACTCAGATTTGGAACAGTACTGTATATTGAGTGAAGAAACTTTTAAGCAGCAACTATGTAGCAACTATACTATGATTTAATATTAGCAAATTGCGTCATTTCTACTCTTGTTTCAAACTATTTATAAACTATTTTAAGAATTAGCAATGACAAAAAAAAAAACAAAATAAAATTTTAATATTTATAAATATTTAATAACTAGTTTTATAATTTATTTAATTCGCAATTAAAAGCATGAAAATTTGCTTCAATCTTCTAAAAACAAAATGGCCTTTCGAATATTTATTTCTTTAACAAATGCATACATGCCGATTAGCCAACCCATTATTAAAGCTGTTTATTTCTTAATTGTTTAATTATTTATTTTATATTATTTAATTACGTTTTGTTATGAAGTGGAATTTTAACTTACCAATCGGAATCTGGATCCGAAGTTCCATCTCCGATACGTGATTTCCTAAATGAATTTAAATTTCATTGAAATAATTACTCAAATGACGATTAATTACAGTTACAAATAACAGACACAGTTTTATACAAAGTTTTATTTTTTATCTTTTATTGATTATTATGTTTCACTTGGGTTTTCTGTCAAAATGATTCAGTCCAAAAATGTATTTATGTATATTTATTTAGATTCTTTGAAGGGCTATTGGACAGTTAAACGTTCAAAAAATTATTTTTGGTTTATTCGAAAAAGCCTAAAAGTAATTTAGAACTTTTAATGATAAAATTTACTCTTTACTCCATATGTACGTATTAGGGTATTCAATACCCTCGTTCGAATAAATCGTTTTTAGACGTTGGTATTGTATCGATATTGCCAGGTAGTAATATAAGGGTGCTGCGAGTAGCGAAAGGGTTAAAAAATTTAAGTTTTTGATAACAAAATTTCTGTTTTAATTAAGAAACAATGTTGTGAAAGGATTTTGGAATTGTCGGAATTATTTCTAGAGAAGCATTTTAGAACATATACATACATTTTTTTAGTGTAGCGTTTCCCAATTTTTTGGTAATTCGTGGACCCATTAAGGAATATCGTGGATCCCATAAACATTTTGATTCCTATTGATTTGGATGTCTTTCGGAAAGCCTTTAACCCTTTAACGCACACACATATCTTATTTTGACGTCTCTTGAAAATTTTGATTGAAAAGAAAATTGTTCAAAAGAATGTTTTCGAATGATATTCGTTTTAGCATGTAGTGACACCTTATTCTGAAATGGAAATAACCATTTACTATAGCTGTGAAAGCTCAACATCGGAAAAATAACTTCGGGACGCTGGTGTCCCGTATAAGTGAAAGAGTTTGTTGCATGGATTATCGCCATCAATGTTACGCTTTATTTATCTATTCTATTTATGTTCTGCGTTGAGGTCCAAGTGAAGAAACTGGTATATTTCTACTAGATTAGTCCATAAATCTATTGGGCTAAGTGAAGTAGGGTGGGCTGGATAGTTGAATATGTGATGAGTATCATCTAGCGTCTAGCTTATACAGAAAATGTTCTAAAGAAAAATTTAACAGTTGGAATTAAGCCGACTTTTTAGCACACAATTTTACAACAAGCCGCCGAACTAAAGTGGTCGAACCGCCGCCGTAGAACTAATTTGCATTGGTTTATATATATGGTACAAAGCTGCTGTTTACGAATTACGATCCAAAGTATCAGTTTCAGCATAACATTATGGTTGTTGACAATGGGTATCACTCAGCGAAAGAGATCACACTGGAGCAGCATAACCACCGACTGTTTTGTAGGTAGCCAACAAGGTTTTTTAGTCCATTCCCCAAGTCCTGCGCTTTGTGGACCTTGTTACTACTTCACAATCTGCAGTGGCATGAGCTGAGAAGGTAAAGGGGTTGTCAAAGGTGACCCCCAATTTTTTGCTCGGTATATGAACTACGACGCTTAAATTAAGGTTTTGCTCCTTCGTGCAGGTGGTGTTAGATTATGATATATCGAAGAAGGAATTTAAATTATATTTTTATTAACAGATTAAGCTATAATCTTTAATAACACAGTGAGACAAAATATTTTTCTGAAAGGTGGATCCGAGTAGAACATGAATATGTTTTTTAAATTTGCCAAACAACTCCAAAATCTTGAGTTACGGGTAAAAAGTCAGTAACACAGTTGAATCTGAACCGATTTTAAGTTTCTCCACGGATTTAGAAAGCAGAAGCTGAGGCCTTTATAATAACATATAAACGTTTAAGTAACCTGGAGAGATATGTGTGAATTTCATCAGCAAACATATTTTTTATTTTAATTATGCACCGTTATCCAAGTTTAGAGATGTTTTTTGAAAGTATTTTATATAGGAACCGTACTATTTATTAATTGATTAGAAACCCATGTATATTCATGAGAAAAACGTAACTTTGTTTATATGTCATTATAAAGGCCTCAGCTTCAGCTTTCTAAATTCGTGGAGAAACTTAAAGTCGGTTCAGATTTAACTAATTTACTGACTTATAAGTTCCTAAAGGTACGAAAAACCGGTTTATTACCCGTAACTCAAGATTTTGGAGGTGTTTGGCAAATTTCAAAAACATATTCTTGTTCTACTCGGATCCACCTTTCAGAAAAATAGTATCACTTCCCAGGTATTTATTTCGCATACGTTTGGCTAATAATCCGATTAAAAGGAAAGTCTGAATAATTGTATACCCTAGTACGTACATAGTCTAAACCTCAGTGGTTATTAAAAAAAACAAGGTGATAAACTGAAATGAATGAGGATATTGGTATTAAATTTATCATTTTGATAGCAACAGGAATAATCGATAATAAAAATAACTAAATAATATCGATATTAAGAAAATTAAACGGTATTTAAACGACGTTCTCATTAACACTACCGTTATATACATTCTTAAACGCAGTAATTTTGTGTCCAACTAAAGTTTTGTTTGTGTTCTATGTTATGTTCGAGTATGTAGAAAATGTCATGTTAAAGTATGTAGAAAATGTAAATTATATTTATTTTAAGATAAGATTTAAGATAAGAATGTGTAAAATTGATTAAAATTTGTAAAAAGTATGGTTTAAAATCGGCAAGTAGTTAGTGTATACACATTTTAGTAATAGAAGATACACATCAAGTTATGTTCAAAACATTTATGGCAATCGTTTATCATAAGTCCATACTATATGTATGTATGATTTACAAAATATGTTCTGATTTTACAACATACATAAATGTGTTCTAAGAAATTTAGTGAAACAGAATTTTAGTATTGCAGAGCTGTCATTTATGAGTTGAACAAACTTTTTATTCTTGTTAAATTATTATTATTTTTTGTAAGAAGAAGGAAGCCGCCTCATTGACATTAATGCAATAATTAGACCAAACACTCTATTAAAGGCAAGACGAGACAAAATCAAAGGAAAAGAGAAAAAATCTATTTGATTTGCATTCACGAATGTAAGGATTTGTCAATTGCTATAGACAACATTTTATGTTTTTTTTCCAGAGTGTCGTATCGGATTATTGCATCATTGTAAATTGGCTAGAGAACGAACGAACAATGATATTAATTTTACTATAAAAAGATTATTAATTAATGTATTACAATATTATTAGTAGGACTGCATTCTTTACACCAAATACGTATATGTAAGTAGAGGTATGTATATAATATGTATAAGTATTTATATAGAGAGAGAGAATTATACAAAAAAAGAAACCTACTACTACTACTGGTAGTGAAAAAATAAAATATATAAATAAATTAAGTTAAGATTGTAGTAGACTGGAGAACTAAATATTTAAACAACATATGTATGTATGTATGTATCTTTACTCTCATAATGTTTAGGTATATAGAAATTTAGAATAGTTAATTGAAAATGGACCGTTCCTCTTGATTCTTCTCAATGTACAATAATATGCCATCACTGCTTTAACACTTTTCCACTTTTGATTCGTACTATTATTGTTCGTAGCTGCTGCAGAATTCTTATCATCGTCATCATCTTGCAGAAGGTGCTTGTGGATAATGGCAGGTGTTGCAATTTTCGTTTGATGATAGCAATTGAGAGAATTGCTGGTGCCTGAGTGGACGATGCTGCCTAGTATTTCCGATGAGGGGCTGTTTAATAACAGTTTAACATGACGTCGATTGTAGTCGAATGATGAATGATTTGACAGCGTAAGTCTATCTCTCTCTGTATAATTTCTTATTCTAGATGTGCGTGATTCATGCCCGGTCTCCTTAAGTTTGTTGCCATTTGTTGTACAAATTTTATTTGCATAACTTTGGGAATATGTCGATGAAGAGGATGGCGATCTTTAGAAATTGTAAACATTTTAAACGTGAATGTAACAATAATACCAAAAGTATTCATTAAATCATATCATAAAAGTATATCAATCAATCAGAGTTACGGAAATATTGATTATTCATTTAGATTAATTGTTTCTGATATTAATTATCAATAAGATTGAAAAATCTTATAAGCATCGAGATTAAATTCTTTTTAACCCTAACAACTTGCAAACATATAAATAAGTGTTGGAACTCTCATAAGTCCGATTATTATGAAAAATATTTTTTTAGTTTCAGAAAATTTATTTTACTTAATCAATATTTTGAATAGAAAACCAGCAGGAAAGTATAGACGGTCATGCCCGACCATATGTTACCCTACTCCAACTATGAGTATATTTTGAAAGTATTTATATTTAATTTTACTTTAATCCCGATATATTTAAGCAATTTATTTAGGAAAAACTAATTTCTATAAGACGCTTTATATGGGAGTTAAGGTCAAACCGATATTCACAAAATTTGGAGAAAAGATTTATGTTTTTAAAAACGTTGTTATAATTTTTATTATTACTAAAATAGGAAGTCATTTATGTTTATATACAATCTTGTTGATATAACATTATGTTTTTAGTAGTTATAAGCTAAAAATCATAAATCGGATGGTCCGGTTGTATAATTGAAAATTACAGCTCAAGGTTTACATGGCTTAATAGATTCAGAAACTGATTCTGAGTCAATCGGTATACTTTTGTGCGTTGCCAACATAAGCGCAGAGGGCGTCGAATTGGCTAAGGTACTATCGAATATCTAATAGGGATTTCAGAATTTCAAGCTGCTATTAAATCCCTAATTGGTGTGTTTTCCACATCTATAATAGTCCATGAATGCTGGACGTATCTCAACGGGATGGCGAAACATTCGAACATTACCCTAATTTGGGTCAGGGGAGCACGTACAGCTGTAATGTTACCAACATTCTTACAAGTGCTTAGCGAACTGGAAATAGATCCGTTCTGTGGCGTTCCACTTCTTGCAATTAAAAGGCAGATCAACGAGTACTGCTATTCTACTGCTCGTGACCGACTCGATAGCTAGAACGCTGTGACCCCATATGGATCCTTAAAGGTCTAACTATCTTATTGGTCTTCATAGACTATAACTACACAGAGGAAAAAAATATACACACCTGGTACCAAATTGACACCAAATGTATACATACATACAACAACAACATGTAATGTAGACCATGCAACTTTGTCAATTATAGTATATACATACAAACAACAACAACATGTAATGTAGACCACGCAACTTTGTCAACTTTGTAACATTTCGTTGTCGCAATCTAAACTTTATGCACATCCGTTGTCTTAAACTTAACAAACGTGGTAACCTTAAATTGCATTGTAAATAGTGAGCTTACCACGTTTGTTAATATTTAGACAACGGATGTGCATAAAGTTTAGATTGCGAGAACGAATTGTTGCAATATTGAAAAAGTTGCGAGGTCTACATTACATGTTGTTGTATGTATGTATATACCTGACAACCGATGTTATTGAAAAATTTTGTACCAGGCGTGCATATTTTTTTTCCTCTGTGTAGGTAAGCTTGTATCTGTATATTTGGAAACCACGCTAGACGCATTGATCTTCCTTTCAATGATTTTTGTAAGAGTTGTCAGAATGAGGAGGAAGAGGAGACTATAAGAGGAGACAGTGATCCGTATTCGGACGCTTGGGTCGGACTACTTTGGTGATCTATCCGATTTGTCGAATATTCCATTGAAACGCCTTACCGCGTTCAGTAATTTATCAGATTGGGTGTGAATCTTGAATTCACACTAAATAGGACGTAATCTTTTAGTCTTTTAACCTTGCAGTGCAATCCTGCCTGGTTCTTCTCCTTGACGATTTTACTTTTCTTACTCTTCCTCTATATTCTCCCCTTTCTACTTTTTCCTAGTAAAACTTAACATTAGCGCAAGTGCATAATATCGTGCGCACTATGGTGGTGTGGGGTATAAAAACCTATAATTTTATTTGGACAATCTGATTGATACTCGTTGAAATTTTATATTAACCTTTCATTAAACAAGAAAATAAATCTTTAAATTAAAGCATACTGGAGATTTTTGACCTTGCTCGACTTATAGTCGTGATTCCTAGATTTACTTATTTCAAAATAAAACCAATCCTTAACAGAATCGATTAATAATTTGCTTGGGGAAGGGACGATATTTTAATTCATCGACTAAAAAAGCTATTTTACACAACTTATTAAAGAAGGGATCTTCATAATTTTAATTTTATTTCAATTAAAATTTAATTTCGTTTAAAAAACTCAAGTACGTAAAGTGTTCACTGCAGAAGACAAAGGTCAACCTTGCATGTCCATGGTTGCAAGGTTGAAGTTAAAAAAATAATGTATGACCATTCACATCCGCTATTTATCGTATTTAAACATTAAAACAGTAATTATATATATAGATATGTATATGTATGTACATAAACATTATACTGTCCACAATTAGACTGGACATCCACACAATGCGTTCTTCGATTTTTCGCATTTTACTGGTCTATCAAAATAGTAGAACCAATGTGCATACATAGTTGTATGCCGCAAGTTACAAGATCAAAAGCTTCATCAAAAGCAACAAAAATTGCTCAGTGTGAACAGCCACTTAAAATTGGTGCTGGTTCATATAGCAACTCCATGCGGCAAGAGAAAATAATTATATTTCTATCTTCTTTTCAAAAACATAAAATCAAAAGTAAAGTGCCAGTTCACACGGAGCAACTTTAGTTGCTCAATTTTCAGAAAATTAGTTGTTTTGTTTATTTCTTTTTCTCATTCGTACAAAAACTAATTAATACGTAATTTCTGAAACAAAAGTTTCACTGTGTAAACATTAAGGCAACTTTAAAAAGTTTAAATTTTTCTCAATTTGAACTGGCGCTTTAAAAGCGTGTTTAAAAAAGTTTGGCAACATATGTTGCTAAGTGTGAACAGCCACTTAGTAAGTTCACATAGCAACTCCGAGCCGCAGGAGATACGAATGATAATTCTATATCCTTCTCACAAATATAAAATCAAAAGTTGTTCTATGTAAAGTGCCGGGTTACACTGAGCAACTTTCGGAATTTATGGGGAAAGAGGAAAAAAGAAATATCATCTGCTTTATTCTCTCTGCACAACAAAAATGTTTCTCAATGTTAACCGGCACTTTAAAAGCGAATTAAAAAAAAAAGTTGGACAACAAAAGTTGCTCATTGTGACCGCTACAAAAAATGTACGCCTAAAAAGCATTACATGTAACTTGAAGGTCACAATGCGTAGAAGGTATAAAAAGCACGCAATGCTTTGGGTTCGAAAACGCTTAGTATGGATCTCCACTTTTAAATATTTACATATACAAAGTACATACAAACATTCGACATTGCGAGTAAGTATATAGTACATAAAATCAATTATTAAGTATGATTGTATAAGAAAATTGTTGTTTCATTAATATCTTTCATGTTTTCTGTAATTTACACTGATAATAAAAGGAATGTAAGAATGGTTGTAGTGATGGTAATTTTGTTTAGACGTATTTTTAAACATCAACGAAAATTTACCTCTGACTAGGGCTCTTACTATCAGAGTGGGATGAGTGAGCATTACTGATCTGATCGTCATCCTTTCGTTGTGTCCTTCGTTTAGAAACTGGGTGGATTTGATCTTGGCCGGAACTGCTCGTTCCAGTAGGACTGATCACATCGGTGTCGCTATTGTTGCATTCTGCTTTATTCATTTCTTGTGGAAACGTTATGGAGCTTTCGTTGGTTTCAATCTGAAAAAGAAATAGAAAAATTGCGTTATTAGGAAATTAATACCATCGTAATGCTCTAAAAGCCATTTTTTGTAGAAATTATACAGCGATCGAGATTCTCAATCACTTGTAGGAAACGGAAGATGCTTTAAAATTTGTTTACTTTTTATTTTTAATGTATAGTAATGCGCTTCTTTTGCTTGCAAAAAAATTTTCCACGGGGAACTATATTATACGTTTTCAATAATTTTTATACTTTTACGCATTTCATCTACTACTATAACTTATTATTAGAAAATCCTCTAAACTATAGCAAATTATATATATATATATATATATATATATATATGATCTTCTATTGCCATATATATATATATATATATATATATATATATATATATATATATATATATATATATATAGTCTAAATCTAGTGCAGTTTAAACACTTAAATTGTTATGAAACATTGAGAATCAACATGAGAGAATTTAGCTTGGCATTGAAAATGGCTTTAATTGTTGTACTTAACGGATTTACTTGTGTATAAACGAAATTAGAATCCTTGTTAAAGATGCTGGTAGGCAACTACGATTTACATACATAAGTATACATATGTATGTTGATAGAAACATGTATGATGTATTACAGTTTTAAGTATATAATTTGTGCCTTCTTTTTCACCATTATAGTAATTATGTGATGCATGGAAAGTATTGCTTTTAGGAAATGAAGTAAAACGTTTAAAGCATTTTGTTGTCCAATGTCAAATGTTTAAAGTTCCAACTTTAAAACATAACCAAGAAAAATAAGCTTTCTAGATCATTTTGTCTAATCCTACCCAATATTTACCACTTTAGTGGGGAGGGTATATTGGGTTTGTGCTGATGTTTGTAACGCACAATAATATTGGTCCTATACCCACCTTAAAGTACACCAATCGGTGAAATTTGGTACATGATCTTCTATTGCCATAGGGACAAAGCCTATTGAAAATGGTTAAGATCGGTCCATTATTTCACCTAGCCCCATACAACTGAACCTCCAAATAGGGCTTGTAAACCTTGTAATCAAACTACAGGTCGCAATTTTGAAGATAATTAAATGAAATTTGGCATACGATCTTCTATGGTAATGGAGACGAAGCCTATTGAAAATGGTTAATATCGGTAAATTATTTCACCTAGCCCCCATACAACTGAACCCGCCGAATAGTGCTCTTAAGTTCATAATTGTCGTATCTCGACAAAAACCTGCAAAACCAAGTTCTATACTAGTCTTGATGACCCTCAAAAATTTTATAGTTATAGGGTCTCATTTGACCATAGCCCCTATACAAAGACCCCTTCAAAATTTGACTTAAATGTCCACAATTTAATTCAACAATAACCTAAATGCTTTATTATGAAAACTAAATCACATTTTAATTTTGTAACAGATGTAGGGTATTATATGGTCGGCATCACCCGACTATAATTTCTTACTTGTTTTTTATTTTTTTAGATGGTTTTATAATTCGTTTTATTTATTTTTGCCTTTCTTGCCATTTTACTGTACATTTTTATTTTCTCAAAGTTTTTAAAAGTGGAAAATGTTAACATTATGTTTTCCTAATCTGAATACATTTTTGTATTACTGAACAGAGCTATTATACTTGCATATAAACTTAAAGTCTATTTATTTATAGTTAATCGATTTAATTATTTTTACATTTATATAAGGCCTGCCCACGAACAAATTTACCCATTTGTAATAATGTACCTTCTATATATGTAAGAAAAATATGGGGTCTTAAACCATACATTGTATATTGGATGTACACCGCGGTCATTAGACCTATTTTGACCTACGGAGCTCAAGTTTCGTGGAGAGCGGTGAATACCAAGACTCACGTCTCTCCTCCACCTCTCAGGCTAGTCTAGAGACGATGTTAAATATAATTCACCTTGATATACAACATCAAATGCATTTCTGCTAAATCTGCTTTACGACTTAAACAATCGAACGGACAGAAGCATTATCGCATTGGTCATGGCACCATCCTACAAAAGATAGGCAGGCCAATCATGGGGCAGGAAACGGGCTACACTGAATTTTAATAGGTCATTCAAGACCATAATACTGACAAGGAATGATTGGGCCGCGAACACTCTCCTAAGGGATAACGTGATCTCAATCTACACTGATGGTTCAATGACTAAAAGGGGCATGGGCTTGGGAATCTTCTCCGAAAAACTGAATCTCCTGTTGTTTCTTCGACTACCTGACACCTGCAAGGTCTTTCAGGCAGAGATATATGTCATCGATACAGCCGCGAGAAGAATCCGGGAAGTGAATCTCGAAAATTCGACTATACATATATACTTGGACAGCCTTGCATCAATCAAGGTTCTTAACTCCAATGCTATAAGGTCGAAATGTCTTCTCAATTGAATTCAATCATTGGCACAACTGACACAACATCACGTTGAGATGATATGGTTCCCAGGACATGATATATATCTGATGAATGCGCAACCAAAGGGTCGTCCTTAGACTTAACCCTTGAGCAAAGAGGTATTCACACTTCCCTGGTGACCCTATCAAAATTGACTAGATAACTGGGCTTTGAGTGAGACGAAACTCAGGGTGTCAAATATCACCACTTGTAGAATATCTAGACTGTTCTGGCCCACTCTCACAATGGATTGGACTAGGACTCTCTTGTCTTTTAGTAAGAACTCGATTAGGCTTCTCACGGGTATAATGACTGGGCACTGTATGATTGGACATATGTATATCGGAACGTATGGGCTACCCACGTTATAGCTACGGTAGATGCTGTTTGGAAGAGGAAAAAGAGAAATCGGTACAACACCTTCTATGTGACTGCCCTTGGTAGATCTGGTAGAGCTCTTTTCCATGATCTGGACTATCTCAGATATAGAACCAAGTAGTAGGACAGCAAGATCCAAGTAGTCAACGAAATTAGGGAGGGAAACCATTCTCTTTTATGTACAAACTCTCAACATAAGGGGAGGGCAATTATAAGGTTATCACAATGGGTCACAAGGCCTCCGATTGAACTCGATAATGCATGCAATTTGATTAAAAATATTGGATTTGAAATGATCAACATTTTCGAAATAAACGAGGAGCAAGAACACTTTGTTGTTGGAAATACAACTGTCTACAGTTGTTTCTGGAAATTTGTATTAAACTGATTTCCAACCGATCCTATTTTTTGACTTATGAGTAATATTAATTTAAAAAAGAGTAAATTTGCCCAGTTTTCAATACTAATTTGTTTTACAAATGGTTTTATGTGGAATTTGTATACCTTTCATCTCCAAAGTAGGGCATCATATAATATAATGAACAAGGAACACATATTATGCGTATATACAAATAAAAAAATTAAAAAGCTCCATAATCGATATATTAGGTAACCCATATCTCAGGGACTAAAAGAAGTACAATCAAGTAATAGCGTTATATTCGACAAAGCCTAATCTTATACAAGTACCATCAAAGCATCTGCCACAAATCCTATAACTTTTAATCTTGAAAAGATAAATATTTCGTGATTTTCCGATTCACATTCACAGGATTTAAAATAATACTTAAACACTTACATATGCATATAAATAAATTGTATAAGCAAATATTATACTAACCGCATATAATCCTGCTGATGAGCTTGAAGAAGCTGTGGCAGCCGCTCCGGTACTGCCGTAATTAAGTTGAGAATGATATCCGCTTGAGAGTATCTTTTTGTGTGCTGATGCATGTGCGCGATACGCACTCACACTTAGTTTCATTGTGGTATAAACATAAAATCCAATAACTTGCACATTTGCTGCCAATGATGCAGTTCAGCTCTTTCGACCACATCGATTACCCTCTGTTGACCATTTTGTGGTGCAAGGACAATAAAAAATGGACTGCAAGTAGTTTTCATTCGCCCAACGAGTTCTTTATTGTGTATTACAGTGGAAAATTAATAGGTGCGTTCGTTAGGTTGTTTAAAATGTTTACGAATTGTATCCATATAGTTGTTTCTTTGTAACTAAATGTAAACAGAGCTGGTACATTGATTTTAATCAATTGTTAAGGCCTCGGCGTTTTTTTTACTATAAAAAATAAGAACACAAATGAAAAATTAGGATGTTTATGAAAACTTTATAGATTTGTGTTTGTTTCAGTGTATGTAAAGTAATCCATCCAGTAGTGTAAATTAATTTTCTATATCTATTAATAAAATTGTTTGCAATTGTTCGTGTACTTAAGATACATATATATTTCAAAGCCATATGTTTTTTTTAGGTTTAAAAATATAAGAAATGTACATAACAACAATCTTAAAGTAATTTTTAGTAAAAAAATTTAAAAAATGTGATTAAATTGTCACAAAACAAACTTTAATCCTTACAATTTTTTTAATAATGTATGACTTATTTATTAAAGTGTTTCGTAATCTAAAAAACATGTTAAAAATACTAAAATAAGTACATCCATCCAAGCTCAATACAAATGGAAAATTCTGGAAAATTTTAGTGCAGAAATTATGAACAAATTTACCATAATTTAGTTTCAAGTATTTAAGAATCAAAATGTGAAGTATTGCCAATATCGATTCAATACTTATTTAAAAATACTATACACACATACATACATATGTATATAGGTACAATACGTAATAAAAAAGTTGTGTACATTTCTAAATCCTTCTATGAATTTCAGATAACATTTGACCCCGTCCACCATTTAAGGTTGCTTTACTTTAATTTAATCGATCGAATCGTCGGATTTTTTTAGGGGTCACTCTTCATTTTGTTAGATTTAAAGATTGCCAAAGTTTGAGCACGATTGAAAGATGTTAAAACGTGCCACTGGGGCCTCAAAGTTTTGGAAATCTCGATTTTTTGGCAGTTTGGCGACTTTGCCTACCCATATCTCTAGAACGGATTGGCATATTTTCCAGTGTCAATCAAATTGAAGCAGATACTATTTATAATATTTTAAATGCAATAAAAATATGTTAGTACTAAATTCGAGATAATGAAACCAATGTTCCTAAAACCGTGACTATATACCCCTTAGAGCGAAGATGGAACCTATTGTGAAAAACAAAATTAAGTATAATAAATATTATGAGCTAGCACGACTCCTCGCTCTGCTATGTCGTTTACAACTTTCAAGTTGTTTACCATCCTTTGCCCCTCCTGGTAGTTGATGTTCTGCGGCCAAGTTGCAGGATCTTTATCAAGATATTCGGTGTAATGTTAAATCTGTTATACAACAGGTAAGTCTCACTTGTAATTAGGGCTGGGAGACCTTTTTTTAGGAATTTCGGCAGTTGTTTTTTAGTTTGGGTCGTATATTTCTGGAGCACTTTTAATTTTCTTCTGCTTGTTTTGCTCTTTACGGTATTTTGCACTGTTGGGTCAAACAATGCCAGAGCAACATGTTTAGGACTATGATACTACAGGTGATTTATCATTTTGTTAATTCCTTTTTCTGATATTTTTTGTTAATGCTTTAATAGATTTTCAATGACGTATAGGTCTTGTTTTGCCGCTAAACACGCTCTGAGGGAGTGGACGATGAAAACACAAATGCTTCTTGGGCATCTTGTTCTTGGAAAATCAGCTTAAACTGGCCATGGAAGAGTTGTATTTTCTGACAGTAAATCGGTTTTACCATCCACCGGGCATGGTGTACTGGACCTGGAGATCAAAAGCGCACATCTATTCCGTCGATATGGCCAAGATATATCAATGCCAACTGTAACAGCTCTTTGTAGTCGTCTCTTGGCTGACATTCCATTAGTTTTCTTTGTAGTTCTTCTTTGATATTATCTACTTCTTCTTTGGGCAGTAGTTCCAAAACATTTTCGCCTATGTCTGGATGAGGTCCCTATGTGCTTCCAAACTTGCAGTCAAAAATCCCTCTCAACAAGACTTCGACCTAACATCTGCTCCATGAGATTGCACGCTCCATTGAGTCTCCCAGTATGTGATGCTGTTGTATCGAAGCACATAGCCACATAACCAGAGCTGGCGAGACCCCATTCCTCTAGGCATTCGTATACTGCTAGGGCCTGTTCCTCCCCTGAACTACTGTCAGTTTCAGGAACGCCCAGGAGTGATATCAGATACCTGGTAGTATTTTTCCACCCAGTGCACGCAAACAGACTCGTTTTGGAGTATCTTAAGTCTGTCCAATACATTTTTAAACTAGTTTGGTTTTACCTGCTTGGGGTCGCTAGAGATACAGTATGAAAAAAAATAGACATAAACAAGTTAGAGCGCTATATTCGTCTATGCCGAATCTTAAATACCCTCCACCAGCAAGCTACTTTTTATTAAAACTCATTTAAATATCTAATTTTCAGATAACTTGGCAAAATTTTTGTTTCCGTATTGAGGGTACTAACATTTATGTATATGTCAAACTAATTTTAATAAGGCCGAGAAAAATGTATATTAATTCCGTAGAATGATTTATATATACAAAATACACATTTATGTCGAATTTTATCCCGATAACTTTGATTGTCAATGTGCATTTGAGTAATTTTCGGAAATGGTCCTTATATGGGAATTGTGACCAATTATCGACCGATAAGGAAAAAATTTCGTATAATGATTTATATGCCAAAAAAATTCAATTCGAATTTTACTCCAATAGATTTACTAACTAATGAAATATGTGCGTTTAGGTGATTTTCGGAAGTGCTTTATATGTATACGAGCTATTACCTTACACAAAACATATTTTTGTCGAATTTTGTAAAGATATCTTTATTTGATAATGAAATATGTGCGCTTAAGTGAATTTTTTGAAGTGGACCTTATATAGGAGCTATTACCATATATGGACCAATCCGGAAAATTTTGGAAGAGTGATTCATATAAAGACAAAACATATTTGTGCCGAATTTTATCTAGATAACATTATTTAACAATTAAATATGTGTGTTTAAGTGATTTTCGGAAGTAGGATTTTATCCTTATTGTTTTAGAATTTAATGAAATATATGCGTTTAAGTGATTTTCGGAAGTGGGCTTTATATGGGAGCTATGACCAATATTGGACCGATCCGTAAACAATTTTGTGGAATGATTTGAATGTACACAAAACATATTTTTGTCGAATTTTATCACGATAGCTTTAGTTGACAATGCAATATGTGTTTTTAAGTGATTTTCGGAAGTGGGCCTTATATGGGAGCTATGACGAATAATGGACCGATCCGTAAAAAAATTTGTTGAATGATTTGTATGTATACGACACATACTTGTGTCGAATTGTATCCCGATGGCTTTATTATTCAATGAAATATATGCATTTAAGCGATTTTCGGAAGTGGGCCTTATATGGGAACTATGACCAATAATGGACCGATCCGTAAAAAAATTTGTAGAATGATTCATATTTAGACAAAAGATATTTGTGTCGAATTTTATCCTGATAGCTTTATAATTCAATGAAATATATTAGTTTAAGTGATTTTCGTAAGTGGACTTTATATGGGAACTATGACCAATTATGGGCCTATCCGGAAAAAATTTCGTAGAGTGATTCATATTTAGACTAAACATATTAGTGTCGAATTTTTCAAGATAGCTTTATTTGACAATGAAATTTTATCACAATAGCTTTATTCATCAATGAAATATGTACGTTTAGGTGATTTTCTGAAGTGGACCTTATATGGGAGCTATGACCAATTGTTGACCGACTGAGATCTACGTTGACTGTATGATTTCTGTTCATAATTTATTTGCATGTACAAAATGATATTGATACCGATATATTTGAGGGAGTTATTAACGATAAACTAATTTCCGGGAATATATACCTTTGTATGGGGGCTATGGGAAATATTCGATCGATTGTAAAGATCTTGAACATAATTGATCACTGGCCTAAAAAAATAATGTGTGACAAAATTCATCGAAATATCTTTGGTAGTTTCTGAGAAAACTTCAAAAGAATGTTGAAAAAAACGTAATTTTTTTCGAGGTAGTCTGAAATTTTTACTCATAACTTTTTACGTTGTAAACCGATTTTGCTGATTTTCAATACCAAACTGTTTAGGATAATAATAAATATTTTGGGTGAATTTGGTTGATTTCCTTTGCTTAGTTTTAATGTGAGCGTGTTTTACACAGACAGACGGACATAGCTAAAACGACTCAGAATTTTATAAGGACCCAGAATATATATACTTTGTTGGGTCTTAGATGAATATTTCTTGGTGTTACACACAGAACGACAAACTTATATATACCCTCTATCACCACTGATGGTGGTGGAGGGTATAAAAAACATTGTTGTGGGTCTAAAATTAAGGGTATACCACAGCAAACATATTTAAATGAAATGAAGTTCCAAAGTAAAGAATTTGTCCTTAATAAGCAATAATAATACAAATAACCCATATTCGCACTCAGGGGTACCTAGTCACGTTTTTAGGGACATTAGTTGTTTTTTCGGTTTCAGTACAAGTTGCGGATTTATTGCGTAGAATATACTTAAAATATTATAAATTTAATTTATTTAATTTGATGTATGACACAGGCAAATACCTTTAGCAGTTCTAGATATATGGGTCGCCAAACTGCCAAAATATCGACATTTTTTAATTAATAATAATAATTTAATCTTTAATTTTTTTTAATTATAAAAAAATTTATTAAAAAAATGTTTTTGGAAAGATTGCAAGGAGGTTAAAAAGAGAAATATGTTAAAAGTTAGACTTATTTAAAAAATAAAACTGTATGACCAAAATGTTCAACTTTGACCCCCTCTATAACCGGTAGTTCTTGACCTTAATGCTTGAGCTGTAACTTTGTGTCTGGCCTACTATCCAATAGTGCTAACCTTGATGCAAATTTAATCCAAATCGATTTTTTGAGTTGGGTCACTAGACACGAAACTGCCCATATATCTTTTTCGATTTACACGATTCGTGTACATTTGGAATACATTAGCTTATTTACTTCAACAGCTGAAAAACTATTTACAAAATATGTTCCAATAAAAATATAAATTATTTACTTAGAAATGTACACATTTAAGAAAATAAAAATATTATTAAACAAATTCTAAATACTTAGATACT